ACTTTTTTGTTCTTTTCACTTAAGGTGCAGTCATGTAGAGGAGAGAATGTGGGTTTGGGATCTTATCTTCTGCTCTTGTCATCAAGCAGCAGTCCATTAGGAAACTATGTCAATATTGTGCTTATGCGAAAAATAAAAAATAAAAAAAATGTGCAAATCTGGTGAATTGATTAAAGAATACTAATAACATTATTTGTGATATTTCATTAAAAAAAAAACATGCCTTGTCCTTTTTTTGATGAACATGTGACTCATCTGATGTGATAAAACTGTTCCCATCACCAATCCCATTTATCTGTTCTTCAACCCCAGAGATAAGATCATAAACACAAGTGTTGAAAGGAGATTCCTTGTGGTGACTGAGAGCAGCAACGGATGATTAGATATAGATTATGACCTTAAGACGGTCAGCTAGCTCCATTAACCGTGGGAAGTCAGTCCCAAGAGAAACAGGTAAATGTGTTCATGTTCAAACCCTCAACTAATGTATTAAAGTTAGGATGATGGAGGACGAGCCGCTTCATAAAGGGCTGGTTATCCTCCCGCAGCAGCGTGTCGCAGTGTACGTGTCGCAGATATTTTTGATTTATGCCCATTATTGAAGCGTGGTCTGCGCTATATGCTGTTGGTCTAGATACGGCCGAGGCGGTGAGGAAGTAGGGGTGTAAATAATAATAGTTTTGTATCGATGCATCGATCCAACAGCCGACGATCCGATGCATCGATACGTCCGCAAGAGAATCGATTTTTTTTTCCTCTGGTCTATTTTTATCCATTTGCTCCTGGGTGTAATTCTCCTCCCGTGCTGCGGTGGCGCTAATCCTATTTTGCCCTGCTATCTCGCTTCCTGGTTATACTCTTACAACAGTGTGCTGCAGTGAGCTTGATGCAAACATTTTTGATTTATGCTCAATATTGAAGCGTCGTCTGCGCTACACGCTATGGGTCTAGATTCGGCCAAGGCGGAGAGGAAGTGGGGGCAAGTTTAGTCCGACGACGGAGGGACATGAGTAGCCTGGGTGCCATTCCGAACTTAGTCCCGCCCACAAGGTTTGAGGTCGGGAAGTTTGGTCTGGCATTGCTCCATAGTAGCGCGAGTATGATCGCCCACCCTCTGGCGATCCAATCAAATTGTCAGGGC